CCCCCGTGATGACAATCTATGAACATTATAATATTATCGTTATGTCCTACATACTGCAGTTGTTTAATGTTAATCGATATAAGTATAGATACTAGATTGTAGAGTAAACATTATCCAACAACGTAATACATATTATTATAAAATATTATCATTTTTTTCTGTAGTCAACTATCAAGTAACCACAAATATCTCTGAGAAAAATTTAAAAAAATATTCGATAAACAATTTTTTTTTAGTTAATAGTTAGGTATGCGTATAGTGTATACATTTGTTATTATATTATTCATATAATAGTTATTCATATCAAAACATGTATAATTAGTTGTCTTGTATACATAGTTATTTAAGTATATAGGTATCCACTTAAAGATTAAAAACATTACTGCAATCATTTTTCTTTTTATAGTACAACTATTAGTACAATCAGTCAGCACCTAGAACTTAGTATGGTTCTAGAGAAAACAAAATTTTTATATCCTCATATAAAAAATAATATTATTATTGGTTGAAAGCGAACTTCTACTTTATAAGTTATACCCTTAAAATAACCTTCATAACAACTAACGAGTAATTTAAGTGCGGCAAAGTGCAAATTATAAGTTATTGAACAACGAAAGCCGTATATTATAAATTATGATCGTATATAATTCTATGTAGGTACAACAATATATCAATAAGCAATTTATATTTGATAATTGATATATTAAAGTTGTATACACAATACTTGTATCATACAAGTTATATGCCTACTTATATAATATAAGTAACTACAGTGACCCTCCTAGAGGTTAGGTTAGATTATAATATAATGTTAAATCTACCAACAGTAGACCATAGCCATGTTAGCTGTCTCTAAGAACATAACTTAAATTGGATTTTTTTTTAATTCCTTGTTATTGCAATATTGCCCATCTAGAGCATAAAAAGAAGATCCATTAGTCCAAATTTCAAGTTCATACATTCAGCCGTTTTTGAAAAATAACAATGAATTAACGGTAGTTAGCTTTTATATTTAATATTATGAATTAAAAAACAAAACTTTATGGCACTGACTGGGAGCTCCCTCCTGACATTTATCTTTAAAATGATACACCCCCTATATGACCAAAATCATAACTGTGTATAGATTTTAAGCAATATATGTTTTACAAATGTAATACTAATGGTCTTAGTGGTGAAAGCAGAAATTATTATAATTTCAAGATCAATAAAAAAAAAACATATCTACACCACTGTAGTTATCCAACAATGTGTGATAGACAACGTAATATCAAAAATTATAGCAATGTAGCATATTCAAAGTATTTATACAATCAACATTATCATCGACCTACAAACTAATAGCTTATTACCTATGTTATTGACACTTCTGTCTAGAGTCAACTAATATAATATACCTACTATGCAATTATTATTCATTATAAGTAGCGAATAAAACCTATAATTATATAATTTAATAAAATGTATTCATTTGATTTTAATGAAAATCAATTCTTAAGATAGCTAATCACACCACCACTAGTGGGGCTAAATAGTAAATACTGTATCTAGCTGGTTCAAATGAAAAAACATGGTTAGATAACATAGGCACATATGCACAAATCACCCAAAAATATTAGGGGAGCTTAAGCACCCAAACAATTGTATAGAAAGCAGAGCCATGATGGGCTTTGCCCCTCACATATTGATGCTACTACTTATAAGTGTTATATTTGATATCTCTATCAATAACATAAAATAAATTAAAGATTTAAATCGATAAAATTGAACATGGCTGTGAATTTGAAAGAAAATTCATTCTTTTAAAACTTATTGTAAGACAACTTTCTCAACACAAAGATAAATTTAGGTACAAAAAAACTCAATTTAGAATCTTTTTTTGCAATTTAAGAATTTTTTTAATGTTAGAGGTCTTTTTTTTAGCATTTATTAGTACATTTTTCATTCTTTATTACTGTTTTTGATATTTTTACAAATCATATTCATTTAAAAATACTTTTTAATCATATTTTTTAATTTTAATTTTATACATTTTTGTAAATGGTTAAATATAATTAAATATAGTTGTTTTCTTAACACAGCTTGATAGATTGTACATGTTTATGAAATTTTGAATTCATTTTTCAAAATATAAGCATACTGTATATTGTATTTATTGAACTTTTAAATGCATCTCTTAAGGTTTTTCAATGTGTTTAACTCACAGCCATAATTATAACAATTTATGCAAATCAAATTATGTTTCTTTAAAGTTGTATTTATATATTATGTACAGCAAAACTTCCATATTACAAAGTCAAAGTCTCATGGCCTTATGAGAAACAAAAACAAATTTGTATTACAGAGGATTTTGTAAAATAAAATACATTTGGTTCTCAGAAATATATTTAGTTAAACATTTTGTTAGTGGGAAGTTTATAATAATATGAAAGTTGTGCTGTAATTAAACTAGAAATATGTAATTACAGTGGACAGTTATTAAGGACTGCCTGGATACATTTAAGGTGAGACAAGGTATATCTTAGTCCAGTGGTTCCCAAACTTTTACGACCACGGCACCTTTAAAAAATTGTTTGTGTTTCGCGGAACCCTAATGTCTAATCCAACTCAACTACAATTTTTCTAAATAAAATAAGGAAAACCAATTCTCTAAACTCTCAAATCTAAATAATATTTTAATGATACTGTTAATGACTTTTCAGTTTTCATTATTAAACTTAGTTTAATAAAAAAATTTTCAACCAAAAATTTTTTTTTTTAAATAACAAATATTAAATAAACATAATTTTCTCAATAATCACATACATCTGGCGGAACCCTTGACATCGTCCCACGGAACCCTAAGGTTCCGCGTAACACACTTTGGGAAACGCTGTCTTAGTCTGTTGGTAAGCCATATTTATTATTATCAGTTTATGACAATCTAACTGATTGTTACATTTATTTGATAGTTAGCAGAATATAATAGTTTTTGTGGCAGTGTACATGGGTACTAAGTAAAATATTTTTTTTTCAATTCAATCCGTTTCATATAATATTTTATAGCTGATCAATCAGTCAAATTTACTATAAGAAAAAATCATTATCATAAATGCAAAAAAAAAACAATTACTTTAAGGTACATTTATTTTATTTTTATTGGACCAAAGAAAATATAGACATTTTTATTTCATTAAAGAACCAAAATAACTTTAAGAATAATTATTTGAAATAATTTAATTGAATACAATATTAAAAGCATCTAGGAAATGTAATTTAATATTTGTATCAAAAACAAATCAATTGAGTATGTTATTGTTATAGAATATTAAGATTTGAATTTAAACCATTTTTATGCAAAAAATTATACAAAATATGTACAAATTACTTGTTTATATTTTTTAATTTAAAGTTATGAGATAATTACTATTATGTCCAAAATAAAATACTGAAAGCCATTGCAATACAAAAAAATGATATGTATGGACTTTTCCGTTCTCCAATTCTTGCTAACTTCCAAAACGTTCCCAATGGTCTAAAAATAAAAATGAATTGATCAATATCATTATGATAAAAATGGGTACATACTATTATTCATATTTATCTATAAAATATAAATCTTAAATTTAATTTATCGTTAAAGGTTTAAAGGCATTCTGTAAAATGTTTATTCATATCTACATTTAGGATTTAGTAGATTTGTAATTTGGGAACTTGATTTTGTCTCAGTGTTTTGAAAATCTATGAAAAATTATTTTTTGTTTAATTTGCAGATTATGTTTGATCACAAAATAAAAAATAGTTCTTTGTTTATAATTTATTTGTTGAAATGTTAAGTACTAATGTGGCTCCAAGTGAATTCATAGTCATTTTTGTAAGCGACAAAATGTCTTTTAACACAACAAAGATGAAATACATTAAACAATAAACACTTTACATTATGTTTATCAACATTGAATAATTGAGTCTTACATTTATAAGTGAATCTTAAAAATTCTTTACAATGGTACTCAAAGCTATTTAAAATATTATGAATTAAATTATAATTCTATATATATATACAATATATGTGAATTTTTAATTCAAATACAAATTATTTAACATAGTTTTAGATATTTATCTAAAATACTGTTTGATGATTGTAGAAAATATTTTAATAGATCTTGTTTAGAATATCACCTTTTCAAATATTATAATGTTTAAATTAATTCTGTAATTTGTGATCCAGCTTATAAAAGTATTCAATACATTAATTACACATTTTAACAATGAACAAATATTTAAACAAAATGTATTGCATTCAGAATATTTATTTATCTTACCCAATTTTATTCCTGTCGATAATACTTGGTACTAACTGTCGTAAATAAGTGCATGTACAAATAGACAACAATAAAATAGTCAAAAGACTTTGTAAATTGAATATCGCCAACTGAAATCAAAAAAGTTATTAATAATTATAACAAATTAAAATGACTACATACACAGAATAAATGAATGCATTTTAAAGTAAATTGTAAAGATATTTTACCATGATCACAGCTTTGAATTATTTAATTTGTACCAAAATTTTAACCAAAACTATAATTAGAGAAAATAACTATCATTAAATACAAATTAAATTGAAAAATTTTAAAACTAAACGTATTCGTCAGCCATCAACATCAAAACAATATTTCTTTAATATTTGTTGAGTTGTATCACAGGACAATTTATGTTGTGTGGATTATTGATAAGAGTGATAAGTTACATTGATAAGAAAATTATACATAATCATGAATGAAGATAGCACTATCACAATAAGAAAAAATATAATTTACTGTTTGTTTAGACAGATATCTTAGCCGCATAGGCGATGGGCGCCGATAGGTAACATTTTAGGCGGGGTCAAAATAAAAAATTTCGATAATAAAGTAATATTGTGGTAATATTTATTGAGCTACAAGTTCATAATATTTTTTTCCAGGGGGGCAGCAAGTCGCAAGTGCCCTGTCTTGCCCCCCCCCCCCCAATGGGCGGCCATGCTTAGCCGTGGTTTGTATTTGTACCAGTTGTAGGTCAGGCAAGGTCTAGTTTTAGATCATAGCCCATAGGGTCCATGACAAAATAGATTTTCATTTATTTTGTCATGATATGATCTTGTACCTATATGATCTTAGGTTTTAGTATTCTGTGCCATTAGTCTATTACTGCTATCACACTAATATCCTGCATAAATTTCCACCTTGATCCCGTATACATATGTTTAATAGTTACCTAATACCCATATAATACTGGTACTTAAATATTAATTTATCTAGGTGTGGAGAAAGGAATAAAATTTCGTATTTATTTTGTCAGAGCAATAAGTTACGATTCCAGTTTCTTTTTAATCTGCGAGGGCACCAAAGGGGCGGATACGATGATTTAGGGGCATAATGGTTTACAATTTTAATTAATAGGTTAGTATTCAATGCATGTTCTGTGTGAAAATGCTTTTAATGCAGTTTTGTAAATTCCTTCACAGTTTTTATTTGTAACTCGTTGTTTAAGGCTTGGTTCGTTATAGTATATTGGGTGACACTAATACACTATCTACTACACTAGGTATATAGTACCTAATGATTCAAAGATTGAAATGCTTGAATGTGACGAATATTTGAGGGTTTAGTCAGACCCAGATTTAAGCATTCATGACCAGATTGGTCTATAATATGGTAGCTGTATATAGGACTATAGGAGTATTTTATATTTAATTTTTGAGTTTGGACTTAAGAGAGGTCAGAATAGGCGAAGTCTTATATTGGCAGTTATTTATCTTTTTTTGTTGAGGTTGGAGCCTTTAGTCTGGACTAACACAGGGTGGTCCAACGGACCGTCCAACATTTGGTAGTTGGAGGACCAGTTAACATATTTATACACACTAGGGGAGGGCGCCAAAAGAAAATAATATTTATATTCGTATTTTATTTGGTACTTTCATAAAATATAGGTTAAATTTGAAGGAAAATTACTTTTTTAAACAATTATCTAAAGTTGGTAAAAGACTGATAAGTTTATGATGAGGCTAATTTATTTTGTTCTTCCGTCTTCGGTACCTATTCAATTTAAGACTTATTTTAGTACTTTCATTTCTTAGTTCTAAATTCTAAATTCTAATGCAAGCGACTGGCCATTTAAAAATAAGTACACTATAATTACTGACTTCTAACAATAATATTTAAAATGTTTATAGTCGTTGCCCATATGCCACACGCGAGATAAGCGACAGTAAACCGGTGCAAAGACGTTTTTAAGATGTTTGTGTCAACATGCCGACCGTAAAAAAATTGTATTTAAAATTAATTATCAATTTTAATTTAGCTATAATCTTAACTGAAAAACGTGTGAAAATAAGAACATCAGGAAGCAGAATGCAAGTATTGTTCCTTATCTAACCGTATTGAATTGGTAGCCAATAGACATGTAATTTATTTTCAGGATTTTATCGCCAACTGATTTATGGTAATCACAATGACGAAATGCCTATTGCCTACTCACTAAAACTTCTTCAATGGTAGGACCCTTTTAAAAGTATTTAATTTAAATTAAACATTGTATTTATTAATTGTTTTACAATCAAATATTACACGTAATGTGCTGCAGGTAGAAATGCTATAAGCCTATAGGCTATAAGTGTTACTTACGGATACGGATTCTTTTACCGGTAAACCGGTTATCGTAGACGATATAAATAAACTATATAAGAGGGGACTGTGGTTTAACTATAGGTATTCGGTAACCACTAACCACTATTGTTAAGTCCATGAAGAGGGTTGGAATAGTGATGATCTGCTGTCTCCATCTATCACGCATATGGAATTTTATCATATTATCCTATTTCCAACGTACAAAATACCAACCAATCAAGTTATGCAATGGATCTTGAAAACAGATTTAAATTCATCACAGTTTTTTTTAGTAGGTACATATTTATGGCCTACGACATTAATTATTACATTTTCGATTTTTTCCTTTTAATTCGTACCAAAATTGACTAAATATTTACCCATGAAAAAACTTATTTTAGATTCAGAGCGGATCGAATGATTGTAGGTAGGTACCTATTGATTTTACAATGTTCTTTTTTTTGTGTGTGTATCTGTGCGTGTAATCCCAAGATAAATAGTCGAAATAATGCTTCAATTTTCAACATCAATATCTTTTCCAGTGAGAAAGTGAAACTAGTTGGTGTATTTGGGAGATCAACATTTAAAATTTCCAGTAGTTTTCAAAATCGCCAGAAAAAAACCAAAAAATAATTCAATTTGGGTTTTTGGTTTAACTCTAAAAGCTAAAAATTAGTATTTTCTATACACCATAACATTTTCAAAATATTTTGACTCATGTTGAGCTATTTATGGGCATATGAAATTTTCGACTTTTTTTTAATTAGTGTTGATAGAAAAAAATTTGCTGGGTAAAAAAAACTTGAAAATTTATTACAAGGTTCCTCATACGTTGTTACTGAAAATTAAAAAAAAAGTTGAGTGTAAATTCATAATATTTTTTATGAACACCTGAAATTATAATTTTTACAAAATTCGTAATAATGGCGAAAATTTAAAAATCATTTTTATTTATAAATTTTTCTTTTTACATCTAAGGTTGGAAAATATAATACAAGATTCCTCATAAGTTTGTCTACCTTTATCATAAAAAAATTGTCTATCACGTAGTAAATTTATTGGAGCGTTTGACGTTCAAATTTGTACAACATTGGATATTCACTCGAATTCTCCAGGTTATACTCTAAAAACAAATAATAACCATAGATAATATTTGAAATGTACGCCAAATTTTAATTTTATCATTTCCTATACTTAATAAAATGTTCAAAATATTTTGACTCGATTGAACTGTTAAGGACGTTTTAATTTACAATTTTTTTAGTTTTTTTTCTATAAATGTCAATGCAACTTCATTCGTTGTGTCAAAAATCTTGATAATTTAATACAAGGCTCCTTGCACACTATTACGATATCAGTTATAAAATATTAAAAATACGTAGACATGATTTTTTTAAGCATTAAAAGTTTAAATGTTGATAATATTTATCAAACTAAAAATTTATAAATTATTGGTTAGTTAAAAATGAATAAAATGTTTAATTTTAATAGATGAGAATTAAAAATTAAAAACATACATCAGAAGTCCATTCTGCAACCAAAAAATCTAAAAAAATTATAAACACAGTTTAATTATAGTTATCGTAAGTTCAAATTTGGCCAAATGTTACATTAAAAATAAGAATACCAATTATGTTTAAACTCAGTGAGGCCTAGTAATCTTTACCGATATTTAATTAAATAAAAATAAATAAATAAAAATTAAATAGTAATATTTTGTTTTAATTTAAAAATATTATCTGTGGGTATTTGAAACTTTTAGACTAAGTGTTTTATTATATTTTATACATATACCTACTAACATTTTCAAATTTAATTTTTTCAACAAAAATAAAATTAATCTATTATAGTACTAACTACTAATGGCTTTGAAATAAATTACTTTAATCACAATAATATCATAAAATATACTTACTGAGATATATTATAAGGCTGACTGACCGTCTTTGCTTAGAACTGTTTTTCGCATACAATGATTTTATATCACGAAATTTAAATTTAACACATCCACAACAGTGACTCTTTAGACAACTAATAATGTACAGCTGAGCGTTACCCACTTACCCGTTTTTTGACATTCTTCCGGCTATTAATATTAATATCTAGTTCTAACAATAATATTGTCCATTGTATCCTTAACCCATTACATAAATATATTGTAATAATGCAATATAATATCAAATAAAAATATTAAATAACATACAAATATATATTATATAATAATTAATAATTGTGTATTATAATATAATATATAGTTATTAAGTAGGTACGTTTTAATAATATATGTATAAGTAACTATTCTTAGTATCTTATACAGTTATGCAAATACATTATAGTATATATAGACAATAATAGTATATTATGTCTTAAATTATTTAAGTTTTAAATAATGTGAAATATTGTAACGTCAAGCATGTGATGTTTATCTGTAGCGTCCTCCGCCGACCCCGGAGGTATACAATAATATATAGTGGACGTCGCTCGATAAAAAAAAAAAAAGATAAAAATGTTTCTATACTACCACACCATGTTTCTCCCACTTAATGAATTAATAGCTATATCATTTTATATTGAACGTCCGAGGTCCGAACACTAAAAGAAAATAATGATTTCAACACTATTGTGATTGTCGGTTTTATTTTACATTTGTATTTGTTATTTTTTTTTTTTTTACACATGTTCTTGCATTTTAAATGGAAAAAGATAATTCGAAAGGTAAATACGGTTTTGTGACAACATCTGTAGGACTATTTTGTAATTTTGTTCTAGAAGAGATTCAAAAATTGTGTACTTAAATCATTTGGTCTTTCAGAAGTCATTGACTGTACGAGTCTTCTCAACCATCCGGTACATCTGGACAAGGCAATTGAAATGGTCGGTAAGTTGATTCCAAATAAATAAAAAAATCCTAACTCGTAGATAATAATAATTACATGTGAATCGAACAATTATTACATTATTTTTATTCACACACGCAATTGTGTCACAATAAATCGTTGTACCGGTATACGTAATATAGGTATTGGTTGGATATCGAGAGTACCTACATC